ACATGATCTCATATCCCACCAGGACAATGTCACAAAAGGCTACAGGAAATTGCCCTGTCCCATGATACAACTGTAGCAATCCAAATGCACATGACATTAAAGGGTTCAATGACTTTACTGTATCAAAATGTCCCCTGAAAAATCACTCGCTGTGATATGTAATTTGAGTTATCTTAGAAAAAATTGTCATTTTAGTATGAATCTGTGGTGAGCCGCTTCTGCCGTTTCTGCAGACTATGGTCGCCATTACAAGATGGCGCTGGCTCCGCTGTGGTCTGTGACAAACAACTCCTTATTTGGGAGAGTTGGCGCATGGTTTTTCACCACCCTATGAGAAAGCTCCACGTGGCAGCTTCGCACTGGGGCTTGAGATGCTTTATTAAGGCTGGGAGGGGCATCCGAGGGGGAGAAGAAGAAATATCAAGGGCCTGAATAAACTGCTGAAAGAAGATTCCTGAGTTGCGTCTTCCTTGCGGGCAAGGGGTCGCGACAAGTGGTGCCAAAACCCGGGAACCAGAACTTTCAGCAGTCAGGGGTGGTGCACCGGTTAGTCCCAGGTAAGTGGGATCCGAGACCAAAGCAGGGTTAGTCCCAGTAAGTGGGATCCACGATCAAAGCGGGGTTAGTCCCAGGTAAGTGGGATCCGCGACCAAAGCGGGGCAGCTCCTCTGTAAAGAAAGAGAGAGCATTACATTTTATTACAGCTGCACTGTGTACTTTCGCTTTTGTTTTCTGTGTTTCTTTTGTTGTGTCATTTCGCTTTTGTTTTTTGTGCTTCTTTTGTTGTTGTGTCATGGGTGCCACATCTTCAAGTCTGCTTCTCCTGGCCCTAGATGGCCTGTTACGTTCCAAGGGCCTGGAAGTGAAACATAGTACTTTACAGAGATTTTTACAGAAGATAGATATCGCTGCACTGTGGTTTGCATTTTCGGGCAGCCTTACTGTGCCTAGTTGGGATAAATTAGGCAAAGATCTTGACTTTGCTTCTGAGCAGGGCATATTAGAGGGTGGGGTGATACCCCTTTGGAAAATGGTCCGTAGTTGCCTTACAGATGGCAGATGTCAGGAAGCACTTACTAAAGGACAGGAAGTTCTAGAGCAATTACATGAGGAGAAATCGGAGATGGCAAGAAGTGAGGTATCTCAGAAGGATGGGAGTGTGCGGAGCATGAAACAGGGGAGGAGACGATTGTATCCAGATCTCAGTACGCTGCGCACACCCCCATGTGAAAGTGGGTCAGAGAAGAGGAGGATGAGGAGGAAGAGCTCGGGAGGCTGTCTCGTCAGCTAGAGAGTTTAGCTATAGGAGAAGGGAACAGAAATAAACAGGGGCTCAAGAAAAGCGATCCCCTGGATCCACCGCCATATGGTGGGGGTGTTTCGGGGAGAGCTTTCCATGCCCAAACATGGAGGGCTGTTAACGCTGAGATGGGTCTTGCTTATCCAGTTTTTCAGGATGACAATAGGGGAAGATTCCATGAACCCTTAGATTTTAAAATTGTGAAGACCCTGGCGGAATCTGTCCGCACTTATGGCATAGATGCCGCTTTCACTCTCACTCAGGTGGAGGGACTTACTAGATTTTGCATGACTCCCTCAGATTGGGCTAGTCTAGTCCGCGCTTGTGTTTCCCCAGGGAAATATTAGGAGTCCAAAGTTGGCTGTTTAATGTTTCTGGCAGTACCCAAGACTCGGAACGAGGTAGGAGACTCGGAAATTTTTCACGTAATTCACAATTAAGTAATGCAACGTTACCCTCTGCAGCAGTCTGTCTCCAATCTCCGTTCCTGTTTCTTTTGGCTAATGTTACATTACAGGGGATGCTTAATTGTTCTAATATTACCTGCTACTTGTCTGAGTGTTGGAATGGCTCCTGGACTACGGAAGTGGTTATGAAAATTCCAACCTTTGTCCCGATCCCGGTTACTGCAGATACAGAGTCCTTTCCTATTGTTGAACTGATTAGAGCCCGTAGAGATTTTGGAATTACGGCAGCTATAGTGACAGCTGTGGCGGTATCTACTGCTGCAGCAGTTACAGCTGGAGTAGCCATGGCCAGCCAGGTACAAACTACTGCCACTATTAATCAGGTTATTCAACAAACATCCACCATACTTGAATCTCAAAGTAGAATTAATCAACACATTTTATCTGGGATTCTAGCTGCTAATCAAAGGATAGATCTGCTTCAAGCTCAAGTTGAGGAATTGTCTGACCTAGTACATTTGGGTTGTGTTGATCATCGTGCACATCTATGTATAACATCTCTCAGATTTAATGATTCCAGGAATGCCTCCCGCATCATTGGCGAATATTTGGCCGGAAATTGGTCTATGGCAGCGGAAGACATGATCCAGTCTCAACTAACCCAGATAGCTGTCTTGAACAGTACCCGTGTCGTGTCGATCCCGTGACTTTGGGTCAATTCACCGATTGGATATCTTCTGCTTTTTCCTTCTTCAAAGAGTGGGTGGGGGTAGGCATTTTTGGTGCAATGTGTTGCTTCGGTATGTTCCTCTGTTTGTGGTTTCTCTGTCGCCTTAAGGCCCGCAGTGCTCACGATAAGGCTATGATCATACAAGCTCTTGCAGCTTTAGAAAATGGCAACTCACCTCAAGTCTGGCTTGCGCATCTTAAACAGTAAACCTTTGACATGGTCGTTACACCCCAAGTTATTATAACATTGCACTGGGATCGACATGACTTTCCTTGTTATTCTCTTAGTGTTGGAAAGCCCTTGCACTCTGCCGGTCTTACTGCCATTGCACGCAGATGGGTTTCCACACTAGTGCTTTTCTATCGTCTTAAAGTCCGTGCCTTTCTTTCAGGGTGCTGTCAACTTGTTTGTCGTTATAAACAGCCACAGTTCAGCCTCAGCTATCTCCCTTCGTCCACCATCGTCACGATACAGGATGCGAGGCAAGGCACTGCACTTGAGTGATCCTTGACGTGGACCTCAAGGAGAGCATGTCCTATTGCATGCGGGTTAGACGCATCCACGCCCCGCCCCACGAAAAAAGGCGTCGGCTGATATGGCCTCAGATCTGGGGAAGGGCCCTCCTTAGGACTGAGCCATACTATGCAGCCACTTCTGCACAGTGGGATAGGACCTCTACTCTCGCCTGTATTGTTTTAAGAAAACAGAAAGGGGGAACTGTGGTGAGCCGCTTCTGCCGTTTCTGCAGACTATGGTCGCCATTACAAGATGGCGCTGGCTCCGCTGTGGTCTGTGACAAACAACTCCTTATTTGGGAGAGTTGGCGCATGGTTTTTCACCACCCTATGAGAAAGCTCCGCGTGGCAGCTTCGCATTGGGGCTTGAGATGCTTTATTAAGGCTGGGAGGGGCATCCGAGGGGGAGAAGAAGAAATATCAAGGGCCTGAATAAACTGCTGAAAGAAGATTCCTGAGTTGCGTCTTCCTTGCGGGCAAGGGGTCGCGACATGAATCTAACATAATTGTCAAAATCTAAATGTCTAACTCTATGTGGGACATATATATTTATATTTTATACAAAGTAAAAGCATGTAAAATGCAAATAACAGCGTATGTATTAAAGCCTTGTGAAAAGCCTTGTGTTCTCTCATAGAGAGAGAGGTAGAGGTGCTTAATATTGTGTAAGTGCCACTCGTCATCTCCACAAGCGCATGGTGCACACATGTTCTTTCCCTGAGCCCCCGTTACCTCTCTCCATGCTGAAACCAGAATAGATTTTCTAAGCATAGTGAGTTTGTGTTATTCCCTGGTTTAAAGATGGCTTTCCCTGAGTAAATTCAATTCATTTTTTTCTTAGCCATACGGATCAATATTTCTGACCTCTGCCTAGCAGACTGCATTCACCCTGTACCACTTTGAACTTCTCTCACTGTGTTCTAGCAACACTATGCTTTTTAAAAAATTGGTTTTAACTTATATATAGAACACTAAAATGGTACACATTAATGAAGTGCCATGCAATGTTTTGATACATGTATAGACTGTATAATATTCAAATCAGGTTATACACATCTCCGCAACCATTTATCATTTCTTTATAGTGAAAACCTTCAAAATTCTTTTTTCTAGCTTTGTGAAATGATAGTGAATTATCTATAGTCATCCTCCTGCACAATAGCACACCAGAACTCCTTGCTCCCATTGAACTGCAACTTAATACCCACTAATCAACCTTTCCCCATTCCCACTGGCTCCCTGGCCTCTGGTAACCACCATGCTACCTCTCAACTTCTATGAGATCAACTTCATTAGATTCCTTATACAAATGACATCATGCACTTCTTGTCCTTCTGTGCCTGGCTTATTTCACTTAACATAATTATCTCTGGATCTGCCCATGCTGTTCCAAACACACTAGGATTTCTGATCTTGACAAAATTAGCTCATTTGCACCCACGGGCTTAGGACCGCCCATCACTCTCTCATCACCTTCCTTTATTTTCTCTCTAGAATTTATTTTCAACTGAAAATTTATTATATGTCCAATATTATGTTCCCCAACCAGATTTTAAAAATAGGAATTTTACCTGACTCATCTAATTCTTGCTACATACTTGATACTAAAATATTTGTGATATGAATAACCATAGGTAATGTTCAATGGATTTGTATCAAAGTTGGCTAGAAGACATCTCCATTGAAGATTCAAATAACTATGGTGAAAAGGAAAAAAATGAATGAGGATCTATTCGGGTTAATTGTTTAAAACAGTCTCATATTGTCAGTGAATTCCAGTATCCTCACTAGGAAAAAAATACTGGTGATAAAGCTGAGAGACAAACAAGGTTAAGACCACAGCAGGACTATAAGTAGAAAGAAAAAGGCTTGTACTGCTGATCTTACTTTAGAATTCTATGGACACATGAGAAGTAGAAATGTTTTATTAAGCCAGTATTTTCCTAGATATCGAAATTGCTCAATATTCTACTTTCAAAATTTATTCCAAGAACTAACACAAAGATACTTCATAAAATATACTAAGATCTTAGTATGCACATACATATAAATACACATATAAATAAATAAAAATCTGACAGCCAGATGCTATGGTACATGTGTGTAATCCTAGAAACCTGTGAGGATGAAGAAAGAGAATCATAAGTTCATGGTAGCCTGGGCAACTTAGCCAGAACTTGTTTCAAAATTTTGAAAAGGGGTTTGATGTAGGTCAGTAGCAGAGCACCACTGGATTGAATCCCCTGTATCACCACCAAAAAATAAAAAATAAATAAAAATTATACCTGGGTATGGTGGTGCATGCTTATAATTCCAGCAGCTCTAGAGACTAAGGCAGGAGGATCACAAGTTTGAGGCAAGCCTCGGAAATTTGACAAGGCACTAAGGAACTTACTGAGAACTTGTCTCAAAACTAAAAATAAAAAGGACTGGAGTTGTGTAGTTCAGTGGTAAAGTACACCTTGGTTCAATCCATATATGTGTGTGTGTGTGTGTGTGTGTGTATATTAGCCAACACTTAAATTCTCAAAATCTAGTTTTATCATGCTTCTATATAATATGTAGGTATAATGTTTATTTTTAAGACTACCATATGAACATTAAATTATTTTACTTTTAAATATACAAACACATGAATGCACACAGAGGTAATATAAATTAGGGCCTTGAACAAATTAATCTATCTCAATTTTCTCATCAGCAAAACAAAGATAATACTGACCTCATTAGGTTATTAAAAGTAGTAAATAAGTTCATACTTGTAGAGCACCTAGAATCAATCATGGTAAATAATAGAAATTAAGTAACTTTATACAAATGAATTTTGAAAATTGCTTTAAATATATGTATCCACCATTACACTGTAGTTGCTATAACATGCATACCACTGGTAAATATCAATAAATATGTCTGTATTAATCTGGAAAAGGAAACATGAAAATTTAAGAGAAAGTGACATAAAGAGCAAATATAGAGAGTTTAATGTAGTACTGATAAAAATAATCCATTTATAAGATTAAGTTAATTTATTCACAAGAGAGAGGGGGATCACTAATAGCATTAGGAAAACATTAATGGTTGAAAGCACTTTCATATAAATTATCTCATTTAAGCTCTGTAATTATTCTCACTGAAATTTAACATGTTTATGGAATTTATTTATGATCATATTTCTAATAAATATTTATGTCATTCCAAGTCCTAGCCAGGTGATGCTTTCATAGCACTTTATATCTCTTTCCAATTTGCTGAAGAAAAAGCACAAAAAATATGGCAGTTATTACTTTATTATTTTGATGAATATTTATTGAACACATACTATGTACCAAGCATTATATAAATACAGGAGATACAGAGGTGTTGTTTTTTTTTTTTTAGACAAAGAAAATCAAAATTCCCTGCCCTTGGTAGAGTTGATATTCTCTACATTTTAGTTCAGGAAACTGAGATTGAGGAAGATCAGTGAAAAATGGAGTCTTTAGATGAAGGCAAATGCTAGGTAGAGTCAAATAAAGAAAGAAGAAGGAGATAAAGTATGCCAGGGAAATTAGGATCTTACAACTTTCATATCATGCTAAGTATGTTTAGGGAAAGTCTCCATTAGAAGGCAATATTTGATTGATGGCCTTGTTAGCCATTGCATATCCCTGTTAGCTCATTACAGGCAAAGAGAAAATCCAAGTAAAAGAGTCTCTGGAATTTTTAAGTATATCAATGAACTCTGAAGCCAAAGGAGTGGAAAGTGAAGTAAGACATATAGTCAAGAAGGCAATGGGAGGTCTGGGATTGTGGCTCAGTGGCAGAGCTTTTGCCTAGCATGTGTGAGGCACTGGGTTCGGTCCTCAGCACCACACAAAAATAAATGAATAAAACAAAGGCATTGTGTCTATCTACAACTAAAATTATTATTATTATTATTATTATTATTATTATTATTATTATTATTAGAAGAAGAAGGAGGAGGAGGAGGAGGAGGAGGAGGAGGAGGCAGCAATGGGAAAACAGATCATTCATGACTATGTAGGTCATGGCAAAACCTTTGTTTTTTCTCCAAGTGAGCCAAGAGTCAAATGGGGACTTCTACACAGACAAGTGCCGGAATTTGAACTATGTTTCAGAACAATACTAATAAGATAACTCTTGCTGATAAGTTCACTGAGGTGGAAGAAAGTATGGAGGGACAAGGGAAAAAGCAAAGAGAAGGCTACTTCAGTACCAAGGCCAAAAATGAGATGAGATCTGTCTGAGTGAAGGTGGTGAAAACAACTGGACTCTGAATATATTTAAAAGGTAAATTCAATAGAATTTGAAGAAAAAATGGGCTACAGAGGATGAGTTTGGCCTGATGCCCCCAGAAAAATGGAATTTTCATTACCTAAGATGGGGCTGCCTATTGGGGGAGGAAAGATCAGGTGGGACATAGAAGAGACATAAAGTTTTATTTCTGACATGGAAAGTGTAAAACTCTTATGAGATAGTTGGAAGTGCTGTAGGTAATTAGATATCTAAATCTATATACAATTCAGGGAAGATATTTAGACTAAAATTGTAAATTTAAGATAAACACAGACACACACACACACTCCAGAATTATATGCATATAGACAGAGAGATGCATGCACATACACACATACATACCTTTTCAAGACAGAAACTTAAGATGAAACAGAGCAGCAAAAAGATAAGAAATTAGAAGGGAAGGAAACCAGGAACAAAGACTAAACCCTGGGACTCTCCATGTTAAAAGATGGGACAGAGGAGAAGGAATAAATGATATAAACAAAGCTCTTTAGAGAAGAGTGATCATTAAGTGAAGTCTATGCAAATGGCATATTTATATACTGGTTTGTTGAGGAAACTAGAGAAATGTTGGTTAATTGAAAATCCCATATTCTCACCATTCATCTAGGGCTGATAGACCAAATGGCAAAATAATACATTTTACAATGGGCAAAAAATTATTAAAAAGATGAAAATGTGATTATAATGATACAAACCTTATGATGAACTTAAATTGTTCTTTGTATCACATCACATGCAAGTGAAATGGAAGCTGTGAACAATTTCAGTCAATTGCGGTGCCAGGAGATAATACTCAAGAGTACCTTAAAACAACAGAGGGCAGGACTTTCCTCTCTATCCTAACAGAACTAACCAGGGTCACTGTGTCTTAAAAAGAACCAGTCTTACAGATTTTCTTCCTCCAAAGAAAGAAGCCTAAATTTGCTCCAGATAGATTCTATATTGCCATAAATTCATTGTACTTGTTTTGGAAAGGAATCAGAAGCAGGACATCAAGGAATTGGCCTAGGATTTTTTTTTTTTTTTTATAATCATCACTATTGTAATCCGCATGCTGGTGACTTGCCAAAATCTCCAGCCAAGCCTCCTTAAAGCGTTTATTTACCCAATAATATGTTTATAATTTTAAAATAATTCTGATGAAATTGAGACTTGTATTCTTCTTCCCTTCTACTTAAGGGATGAAGGCTGCTTGAATCATGGCAGGAACTCTAATACCCATAAAGTTACATGGTAGTGGTTCCAACTGGGAAAGGGTTAAGAAAATAAGAGGATGAACAACGCTGCCAGATGGTGAAGTGTAAAGATTTAATGTAAGAAAATAAGAAGTATACGTTTGAATGTATGTACTCAAACCACAATATTCTTTTTTCTTTGAACCTGCTTTCTATTTAATCATTCAAGTTTAATATAAACAGAAAAAGAACAGATACACCCACAGAAATACTGGCTGAGTGTTTTCCAGTTATTCATTGTGTAAGCACATTCACCAATATATTTTCTCCACTGCTTATATCACTGCTGATCAAGTCATGCTCAAAATACACTATTTTTGCCATCTATAAACTGACACAACAAACCAAAAGATACAGATGATCTATTGAGATGACTGCCAGAAAAACATTCATGAATGGGTCCCAAATGCTGTCTAGAATAACTTCTTATAACAGCAATGTCTATATTTCTCTTCATGGAAAAACCATCATATTTATCATCATTAAATAATAAAACAAAAAAAAATGCAAAGATAGCTGAGATTAAAATTGTCTTGTAAAGAGGGACTTTTTGTGGTCTCAAGTTATCCTTTTAATCAAAGTTCTCTAGAATATGTTGCTGTTTAACAAAATAATCACAGAATATCTACTCTTCTGCTTTAATCCACAAAGTAAAGAATAATCCTGGAGATAAAACACAAAATATTAAGTTTCTAAAAAGTTTTCAACACCAAAAAATAAAATCTTATTCTTAGCATAAAAGAGAGAAAAATATGTGTTCTTTTCTAAATCAGCACAGACACGTTTACCTTATAAACACTGATACTCTAGGAGAAGAATATCGTTCATTTCTCCTAAGTTATACAAAGAATCAACAGCAAGTGTTAAGCATGAGATAGAAATGAAAAATCTTCAAAGCAATAACAGACACATGAAACACATCCCAAAGGGAAATAGGAGAGCCACAGGAAAGAAATAAAGTGAAGTGAATACAACCTCACAACTAGCACAAATCCCTCAGGAATTCTCCTAATACAAACCATTAAAGCCATGTGTTTAACATTTGATAAATCCAAGTTCTCCTCTGTCAAGTCGGGAAGCTTCAGGCACAATAAGCATTAACCTGATCCTATAAAAGGCATTGTATCATCTGTCTTTACATTTCATTGCAAAATGACTTTACAAACATATACCTCCAAATCTTGCTTCTACATTTCGTTCGTATAAGTTAACAACGGATGACTTTCTTGTTTGAATGTAAGTTCGATGAATTTATTCTGTTAAAATATGGTCTTTGCAAAACATCATGGTTCTGTCTACATAATGAAAACATCATAAGCAATCTCCTCCATGCTTTGCTCTGCACATCCATTTTTAATCAATCAACATGGCAGATCTAAAAAGGTGCAATGAAAAGATGAACTTCTCTGGTATCTTCACAGCAGAAATGTTGCCAAACATATGGTTCATCCTCCAGAAGCTGCAAGATATAAAAATAGAAAAAAATGTTCAATAGGAGTGTGGCATGATACAAAGATGCAGAACTTAGAAAGCAGAGGCGGAGAGTCTTATTGTAGAACTTTCATTAACTGGCCTTGGCCAAGCCATAGTCTTACTTTAGATTTCTGCCTTTCATCTGTAAAATGAAACTGTTCACTAAGTAGTCTCTAAGACCATCTCATCTCTCTATATAAATCATTCCATACATCTGCACAACACGAAGATAATCAACTAAGACTGTAAATTCGAAATGTCTACCCATCCCTGCCCAACTTCTTATTGTGTGCCAGGAGACACTGAGGTAAATCCCAGCAAACTATTTACTCATCTACTTCTTGTAAAAACTCTGTGAAAAAAGGCATGATCATTGTTACCCATTTTACAGGTGAAGAAGCAGGGAAGTTAAATACTTTGCCAGAAACTGTTTATTGAATCTAGAAAAATAATTCATAAAAACTCCATTCTCAACTGCCTCCCAATAGGAAGAGTAAACAATTTTGCCAAAGAAAAAACTAATTTAACCAAGTCTTTTGAAATAGCTCAAGTATTTTTTTTTAAGTGGCGAAGAGTCTTATTTAGGAGTAAAGAATACAAAGTTGATTTCACAAAATAAGAACAAACTCAAATAGAGAAAGGCTCCCATTTCCAATTGTTTCTTTAGCTACCTAGATTTTTGTTGACATACTGGAGAATAGCTGGAATGGTCCCCAAAAACGCCTTGAAAATTGAAGAGGGAACTAAATGAGACAATAAAGTCAATGGGCTCCATACATTGAAATCTTGGAGTAAAGCAGGAGATGAAACTAACATTTATTCAGCACTTGATACTGTTTAACAGCTAGATTCACGCCTCTAAGTCCAAGCCCATTCTTGTATCACAATAGACTTTTCTCTGCCTCTCATTATAATTGCCTCTGTCTGCATGTAAAACATCTCCTTGATTCAAAATTTTATACTATTAGGAATAAAAATATTCACAGCATGAGTACTCAGAGTATTATCCTGCTGCAATATTTTTCCAGGATCTTTCTAAAATCTAGGCTCATCCTAGTTGAAGGTGTTTCTCTTCCCAGAAACATTTCCAATCCAGAAAACTTTCCAGGAGTTTATTTTTATTTTTAAGCATAAGGTGAGTTTTATTTTTAAGAGTAAGGTGAAGATAACTAGAATATTATTTCAAAGATGGTTACTTAGGTAGAATTAATTATGATAAAGTTTCAGATCTCACAAACCACATGGAGGAGGTCAGGGACAAGAGCACCCTTGAGAAATTACTGGGGAAAAAAATGTCTTTGTTCAGGTAAAAAGGTATATAATCCTTTCCTTCATGAAACAGTCTGAGATTATAATCTAAAATCCAAAGAATCATGACAGTGCTTTTTGAAGGCTTTTAAAGTTAGTATATCTTTCCTTTAAAATACCTCAGTGTGTTCTCCCAAGTAGTAAGACAAGATGCTTTTACAATGATTTATATGGTATTTTCCATCCTAACAGCTGGACTCTTTATGTTTGTAGCATTGCCATGTGGCACACTGTTCAAAGCAATGGAGTTTTAGAAGTTTTGAAAACAGGATGTTCACTTAAGGACTCTATAGAACATGTTACAAATTTTAAATATGAAAAGGAAAGGAATTCAGATGCAAATAGCATGAAACCTGAATCCACTAGCTTTTCCAACATTTTTTTTTTAATGCAGTCAAAGTGAGATGAGAAATGTTCATTCTTCCAACTGTCAGCAAACATATGTATGCAGCTTAACTGGCTTCAGAACCCCTCAGGGCTTTCCCCTCGGTTTAGGGTCATTTTCCAACAGGTTTAAAGAATCAATAACATTGTTAAGCAGCCCTCGTCTTTTGCAACACATCTTTTATTTTCTTTGAAAAGAGGACGTGCTTATTTTTTATTAGTACTTGTACTCAAGATATCTGGAACCCTTAATTTACTTATATTTATCCATTTCTCTTCTATATACACAAAAATCACAATATACGTTGAACAAAATATTACAAGCACAAGAGTGGGTTTTTGTTTGTTTGTTTTAGTACCAGGGAATTAACTCAGGGGCACTTAACCAGTGAGCCACATCTCCAGCCAATTTTCATATTTTATTTAGAGACAGGTCTCACTAAGGTGCTTAGGGCCTCACTAAGTTGCTGAGGCTGGCTTTGAACTCTGGATCCTCCTGCCTCAGTCTCCCAAACCCCTGGGATTACAACCATGTACCACTATACCCAGCACAAAGATGCATTTCGATTACAAGGAAGATAAAATAAAATCATTTTATTTGTGAGAACGAGAGTTAAAGATATTTTATGCCATAAACTACTAATTTAAATTATTAATTATAATAATAAATTATTTTATTTAATTTTAAAGATAAATGATTTCTTATCTTAATAACAAAAAAAAGTAATTTTTGGAAGTTAAAGAAAACTTTCTTAATGTGTACTGTTCTCATATGTGTACTGTTCTTAATATTAAAGTTGTTTACAGAATAATTTTACAAATCAAAATTAAAACTTAAACTACTTTGCATTTGGGGATCTAAAAATTCCAAATGATCAAAAAATACTAGCTTCAATATTCAAACTCTTATTAATTTCTTTTTAATTATTTGATTCAATTCCTTTAATCACAAAAGAATCCAAATATATTCTGGATCATGTTAGAAATAATTTGATATGTGACCAATTCAAAATTTAGCTACATTCTCTTAAAAATTCAACAACATATGCAGAAGGCATAACATTCTAAAGAAGATATCTCAAACTACATGTTTTCATAAAATGGTAAACTTGGCCAAAGGACACTTATGTCAATTAACTTCCTTCAAAATTGATTATCAAACTGTAATATCAGATAATGTATTAAAACAAATAGTCACTTGTTCAAACACTGAATTTATGATTTTTGCCTGAAATTCACATGTTAAAAGAAAATCAAAACATAAAGAGCAACAACTCACATGTATACACAGATAACATTCCACATCTAAAAACTCCAACACTAAACTTCTTCACCCCTCCTGCCAATGTTGTGTTGTTCAACAGCATGCCAATAGTCAAAGATGACCATGGACTGACTCTGGGTCCCAGCTTCAGCTTTTATCTTCTCAGAGATCATCCTATAGATCAAGTAATCAAAACAAAACAAAACAGAAAAACATTTGAAACAATGTTTACATATATTAAGATTAAAACTTCTGCCATAATCACCAGTGTCCAATTTCTTACAGCTTTATTTTCTTTCATTCAACTTTTGTGTCCTGTGTATGATCCTAGGCACTACAGATGAAATAGTGAGTTCCAAAGATAATGACTATGTTTTTCTGACTCTGTTACAGGTACAGTAGAAACTGGAAACCAATTAGCAAATAAATGAGTTAGGCTCAGGCGTTGGAAGAGTTCTGAAGATATTACAATAGGAAATCTGATGAAGGATGATTATAGGTAGGCCAGTTAATTGATGTCAGTGCAAATTCACATTTGAGTTGAAATGTGGACTACGAGCAGGTGAGGTAGAGTCACATAAATAATTTAGTGACACATTCTATACAGCAAATAAATATATAGATGATAAGTAAACATTTTACATAATGGGTGTATATGTATATATTTTCTCATAGGTTCACATACACACCCATATGCAAGATGAACATATGCTTAAAAGCAGAAAACAGGGCATGATTTTTGAAGGGTAGTATGCAAGGCAAAGGGAATAAGGTAACAATATCAAGTCAGAGAAAATGACAAGCAGAGTTGCTGCTTATAGTTGGGCATTCTTTATGAATGGTGCTTTCTTCTCTGAAAAGAACACAACTAAATCATATACAGTAAAGAGGATTCACTGAGTTCCATGTTGAAAAGAAACTAGAAAATTGAATTGTGGTAATTGTTAGAACTGTTCTTTATTACCCTTAGTATAGAAACTTCCTGAGGTTTTAGACAAGACCAGAGCATCAGAGAAACCCCAAAACTCTGTGGAAAGCTATTTTGGAGAAAGGATTTTTTCCTAGATTGGCAACTTCTGTGCTTAGATCTGGCCTCCTGTGTGGGCATCCGGGAGTCCTCTGAGAACTGTCATCTTTTCACACTATAGTGAACCATAGGCTTAGTATCCTCCCTTTATTCTCAGAGAATGTCAGTGTCTTCTACTTTTTCATCCTTGACAGTGGAATAACAATGAATATGCCATTTTCTCATATTTGTTTACTCTAGTTTTTAATCATTAACTTCAGAAATTAAACTTTTAAAATGAGAATTTTTTATATAGTTCTGAATAACACCTTTAATGTAAATAATATAAATTCCAATTTATCATGGGAATTCCTTATTTTAATACATTTCCCAAGCTGTAATATAGTCTCAAAACACGCAGATACAGATTAAATATAAATTGTTATTTAAATAATATGGTAAAGCCAATGAAACTTTTTAAAAATTGCACCTAGATGTTGTCATAATTTTTTGAGGGGGGTGGGTAACCAGGGATTGAACTCAAGGACACTTGACCACTGAGCCACATCCCCAGCCATATTTTGTATTTTAGAGACAGGGTTTCACTGAGTTGCTTAGTGCATCACTTTTGCTGAGGCTGTCTTTGAAATCTTGATCTTCCTGCCTCAGCCTCCCAAGCTGCTGGGATTACAGGTGTGCAGCACTGTGCCCGGCTATGATTTTTAAATGTGTTTTTCCAATTAAAGAAGACACATAATAATCATACAGAAAATTTAGAAAGTAATAAAATATAAGAATAAATATGAATTCCAAAAATGGAGATAAGCATGTTCTATATTTTATAATTCTTCACTGATTTTTGTACATATTGTACATATTATAGATTTGTGGTATATATAATGTACATTTTATAGTTGGGGACCACATATGTCCAGCCTATACACTATTTTTATCATATAACTGACTGTAAGCATCTCAAATTGAAAATCCTTCAAAATTTCAGACTTAATAGCTGCAAAAATGTTTCAACCAGCTATTTAAAAAATGTTATGAATATCTATGTTCTAAGCATAGCATTTATTTTCAATTATTTCCTATTATTAAAAACTAATGCAATAAAAATCATTGAATTCAAATATTTTGCATTATTTCATGGTAATTCCTGAAGGTGAATTGCTAAGACATTTGGTTTTTCCCTTTCTTATCATGTGTTATGGTCTGAATATGAGGTGTCCCCCAAAAACTACTGTGTGAGACAATGCAAGGTTTGGAGGAAAAATTATTAGGTTGTAATCTTAACCCAATCAGTGAATTAATTCCTGATGGGATTAACTGGGTGGTGAATGGAGACAGGTGGGTTGTGGCTGGAGGAAGTTGTTCATTGGGGGCGTGGCTAGGGGGTATATATTTTGTATCTGGAGAGTGGAGTCTCTCTCTGCTCTCTGATCACCATGTGAGCTGCTTCCCTCTGCCACATTTTTCTGCCATGATGTTCTGCCTCACCTCAAGCCCCAGGAATAGAGCTGGCCTTCTATGGACTAAGACCTCTGAAACCGTGAGCTCTCAAATAAACTTTTCCTCCTCTATACTTGTTCTGAATGGGTCCTTTAGTCACAGTAGCAAAAAAAAAAAAAAAGCTGGCTGAAACAGCAGGTATTGTTAGATATCATTCTATAAGAGTTAAGTTATGCAAGAATCTGCAGTGAATTAAAAGAAATACATCAGTTTTTCTGAAAAAAAAAAGGCTGAAACTTTTACTGTATGAGCTTGATGTGTGATAAATAACATCACAATGTCTAATGTGGTGTCTCTTACTCACTGCAGAGGCTGAAATCATGTTCACAAATTTCTGCACTGAAAGGTTCACCCTCTTGTCCTTCCCATTATCCTCCAGCCAATACAAAAGGTATAATAGCAGGACAGGCTGAGAAATGGTCTTAAAGGAAAATGAAATATTGATAATATAACAGGGTCCATCATACCAATCTTGGTCTTCTTTGTCTTACACCTTTAAAGGAATAAAAATAAATTTCTACTTTGTTTAGGTTATTCCTAGTTTTACTTTTGTCTCATCTCTTCACAAACACAACTCTTAATCCATACAGCTTGAAAGGTTGAGCATAATGTAAATTTTTTAATGATATAAAATAGTATAATTTATAGTATGATCTTATTTTTTGTTAAAGATGGGAGGAAAATACACTAAGATATTGAAAATAGGGTGGTTTGATTAATAATGATTTCTTTAAATTTTATTTTTGTTATTACCTGTTCATTTTTTCCTAACATGTAATTTCACTTAGGAAAACTTGCTTTCTCTATAATATTCAGACTTATTCAGAACACAATACTTTCCTCCACCTACTCCATTCTTATGTAATAGCCACCCACACAAATAACTAATTTGTTTCTTCTGTCTCTACCATACATCCCATTATGATTTCTATTCACTATTTTATGTTATTTCTATTAATGTAAACATATTCTTTTTATCAAACATTACCTTCTTTTTTAATTGTATACAAAGGCTGTAGGTAAGTCTAGGGCTATAGTTTAGCAATCTAGCACCTGTTTAGCATGTGCAAGACCCTGGGTTAAATTCTTAGCATCAATAACAACAACAACAACAACAACAACAAAAAGATAGAAAGAAAAGAAGGAAGGAAGGAAGGCAGTCTGAGGACTTTTGTATACTTATTTTCTATCTTCCAATTTTATTGAACCCAATCATTTACAATGTTCTATAAGATATAGTTTTCAGGTAATGTAAGCAAATTATGTAAAAAACATAATGTTGCCTTCTTCAAATCAATCATTATATCTCTTACTTTTGTTTTGAATAATATTATATTGCCTGGAATTTTTGTGAAAGGATCAGAAATATTTATATGAATGCTTTATTTTTACTTATTTCAATAGCAATGACTCTGGAAATAATTTAAAAGTTTTATTATCAAATATTATTTTGATTCTGAGACCCAAATAGGTAGTCTTCACTGTGCTGAAGAATGCAGCCCTAGTTATCTGAATTTTAAAGGATATAGCTCTTAAAATAGTAGCTAATATTTATTTGACACTTTCAGGTACTGTTAGTATATTAGCTAAATTAATTAATTTAATTCCCACAACACATCTCTGAGGTATATACCATTATCATCTGTTTTAAAATGAGGAAACTGGAGCACAGAGGGAGGTTATATGTCTATTAAGATTCTATTAAGCTATTAATAGATTCTCCATTAAAGAAACTTATATTAAAATTTCCATATGATTTGTTTTGCTTAAATTGTTGATGAAATTATCACAAAGGAAAGAATTCAAAATTTGTTGCATTTGGGGGATAAATCTTACTTGGTTTGGGAGTGATTCTGCCCATCTTTCCTACTTCTCCATTTAGAACATTATGTCTATATTAATAAACAAAATAGTTCTTTAATTTTTTTATTGTGATATCTTGGTTTTTATGATTTGAGCATCGAGGTTATGCTAGATTCATAATGTGAGTTGGATAACTCTCCATCTTTTTTTCTGATATAGCTAATATCTCTTAAATACTCTACAAATGCAGTTTTGACCTTCTCTTTGATCCAAGAGTTATTTAGAAAAGTGATTTAAAATTTTATAGTGGATTTAAGAAGAAATTAATTAAAAGCACAAATGAACAAAAAGTTGTTTGATTATTTAAGCTTTTGTTAATGAAGTCCATTTATACCACATTATTAGCAGAAAATATTGACTGAGTAAATACTATTTTCTAGAAAATTTGAAGTTTTTAAGAAACCTTTATTCAACCATTATTATTCTGCCAAATAATCTATCTGCTCATGGGATACAAAGCTATACAAATTGCTTATACACAAATTTAAGTCATGTTAAATATTCATATTTAGTAGAGTTATATATAGTTATATATATAACTCTACTAAATATGAATAATTTTTTGATATTTAATATAAGTATAATATTTTATACTTATATTAAATAGCAAAACTTGTTTATTTTAAATAGCACCTTGTTTTTTAACCTAATACTTGAGGTTTTAACTTCACATATCACTTAACCAGATTATAAATATTTTTAGGTGACTGACATATCTATTTTTGTATTTGACTTTTTAAATTTCTATGTGACTCTGTTCTTTGCTTTTTCCATTGTTTTATATTCCATG